TTCCCCCACAAATTAGCAGGAAATAGAGATGTGGAAAGGGGAGATAGCCATGGATTTCTGGGAACTGTTGAAATAAACTCTATTTCAGTTCAGAATTCTGCATTAACTTCTGTGTCTTGGGTGGGCAATCAGGTAAATCAGATGGCAGATTCCAGCCAAGACCCAGTTGGCAAGGTATAAGAGTTTCAGTATAACTGGAAACTCTATGGGCTCTTTGGATGCCAAGAGTCCACATCCATTAAGGTGACTTGCTGAGTTAGGTGCTAATTGGCTGTGTGCAATTAACTTCCAATGCTCATAATCATCATGCTGTCTAAGGTATTTGTAAAAGTGATGAATTCATACGTTTGATTCCTCTGAAGGGTGGAAATATCATAAGTACCATTTTCCAGATAAAAAGCTGGAACAGAGACAATTATCTGTTAATATTGTTCTACATGTTAATTTTGGTAATGGTGTTATTAGATTAAGCTTTTGTACAGATCAAGGAGCAACAAGTTGTCTTCGTTCCTTCAAGTCATAGAGCCAAGGTAAAAAAGAAAGGGAAGGACAAGCACAGTCCATTAAAGCAGCCAGTGAGCAGTCAGTGCTGTAGAGGTTTTGGTGTAGGAAAAAAAGAAGAGAGAAAAGCCTCCTGAGGTCCAGCTTTCTGGGAGCAACTGAAGAAGGTGGCAGTGATATCAAGAGACACTTCTCAAAATATCCTCTTGTCTTTTTAGTGTCATTCTCAACTCACCCCTTAGGATTTGGTATTTCTATCATGGGATAGGCTGTAGGTAAATATTTTTGCAGGTTGCCTTTTGTTTTTCTGTTTATATGTAAATTACCATAGACATTATCTGACGTGGCTTTTATTTTCTGTCTTCATCACAGCCACAGCAATACCTGAGTAGCAACCAAATCTCAGCCTCTGGCTTAAAATTGGGCATGCAGTAAAGTGCTTACATACATTTCTACCCCTAAGAATGGCCAGAATCTGACACTGTTCTTCAGAGACTGATTTCAGCTAAATGTTGGAATACAAAGAGAAACTCACAGAGCTAATGGTCTTGACATTTCCAGCTCAGATGTTAATGCTGGAGGAAAAAAAAAAAAATCAATAAACGACAGGAATTTGGTCATTAAAAGGAACAGAAAGACATTCCTCTGTCAGTAGTAGTTGAAGTTGGATGAAGAGTAATGAGAAGTAAAATACTTTACAGCAGGGATTTTTGATGTATTGCTTGATTGGTTTTAGAATTGGTCAGACAAGAGCTGTTTTTATTGACTGGACTGTTTAGCCAATAAATGACATTCCTTGTCCAATGCTACTCAATTAGCTGTGGTTTACATGTGCTCATATCCACTGTTTTCACATTTGGGGAGCAGAACTAGAAGGCTTTCATTTGGTAGAGCCATGTAAAGTGACCTAAATGGATATACATGTGTGGACAAACCTTCTTTTCTGAAAACAACTATGTTTCCTTTGAATATTTCCAGAGTGATAGAGAGCCTGTGAACTCGCCTGTCTGTCAGAATCCACTCTTTGATCTCGATCCACTTGGTGAATTCAGTCAGAGGCAAAGATCTTAAAGACACTAAGACTCTGAAGTTATGTGAAATGGCATCAAGTAGGGAGAGATGTGAGAGGTTTCCTGCCAGGAGTGATAGCTAAGCCATGAGCATAACTTGTGCTAAACTCAGAAGAGTTGTGTTTGGGAAAAAGTGTTGAGAAAAACCTTCCTCACAGGGAAACCTTCAGAGCTTACACTTTCTGAGAAACTAAATTGCCTGGCAGATAGAAATCTGTAGGAAACTCAGCTTTAGTTTCAGTCTTCACAGACAAGCTTGTTCCAAAGAAAAACATTTTTACAACAAAAGGAATATGCCCCAAAGCAAACTGAACACAAGGCAATATTCCTCTTTGTTAAATTAGCTGATTCTGAGTGATTAGTGCTATTGTTCAGCTTGGCTGTTAACTCTTAGCTGATTTCCTAGTGCTTAATTCCCAGATAATTCCAGAGATTTATGCGTGAGCTGAGAGTTAAATATGCACTTAAATGCAGCACTGACACAGGTATGGTATAGGCATATATTTAATAGGAAATATTCTGAATCCAGGCTTCAACAACATCTTTAAGCACACTGAAGTTGAGGGGATTACTCAGATTCCTACAGAGCCCCGCAGACTCCAGCATCACATTAAATTATGGTGTACAAAGGGATCAGTACAAGTCTTATCACTGAATTTGTCAAGTGGGTTGAACCACCGAGTTGGTGGTGTTGAAGGAAGCCTCAATCAGTTAGTTACTTCTCTTCTGCTTCTGGCTTGGCAACCAGTCAAAGAGACCAGCAGTGCTCATTTCTATTCATGTATTACGCACCATTTTCCTTGCATACCTTGTTTATTCTAACACAAAGGCTGGATTTTCATTTCATTTTGGTACTACATGAGCGGGAACACCTGACAATTGAGGATGCTACTCAACTATCGAGCCACAAATCAACACACAAAAAGTTTTTAAATGGTTTTGCAATGCCTGCATTGATAAAGCTACATCCATTCTCCTTCTCTGCTACTGAGGCAGAAATAATAAATACTTTAAGCACCTCAAAATGGATGGAAGTAGTAATATTGACTAGGCAGAAACTGTTTGCCAGGAGATGAGGCTTTAGTTGGTAGGATTTAAATATGCCTGGCATGTCAAAGCAGTGTGAGAAGCCAGTGTTTTCATAATGATCTGTCTACCTCATAACTTGTTGTGAGCGGGTGATGACTGTTGCCAGCTTGCTTTGTTCTTATGACTATTTTTGAAGATAAGAAAGTGAAATGGCTCCGTTTCAGGAATTAAGTCATTTCTTTGTGCCAAAATACTGACAGGAGCTCTTGGTGCAGGAAGATAAATTAGAGTTCTGACTCCTGCATCATGAAAAAGAAGTCAATGTTGCTTGAAAGGAGCCTTGCAGTTCAAGCTGGTGGTACTTTTCACACTGCAGATGTGAATTTCTGTCCCATAGAATGGAACAGGCTGTTGAACTCTGGCACTTTGAAGTTCTGATTTTTAAAAGCCAGGGATAATTTTAAGGTGAGGGAGGTCAGAAGAACCAACGAGTGGAGCACTTGGACCTCAGTCAATACTGTAACACCAGCTGTGTAGCACTATTTGCTGCCCACCCCTAATGGAATATTTGCCTCGTCTTTGCCACTGATTATTCCAGCTCCCTCAAAACTGCATTCACAAAACCTTCCTCTCCCTTCACATAGATGGTATTTGAACCCCTAGTGACTAGCTCTCTATCCACCGCCTTTCTAATCCAAAAATTTAGCCTTTCCTATGGGTCCAAAATGGCAAAACTCCCACCCAGACCCTTACCCAGCACACCAAGAGCAGTAGCCTCCACCTAGTACACGTGGACCAGCCTTCTGAGCTGTGCTGGTCCAGACACTGCTGTCTGCTTCTTGCATTATTCCTTTCACCTGGGCACCCATGTCCTGCTGCTGGTTCTTGCCCTGCTGCAGTAAATCCATTTGTTTTCTCACTAGGACAAGATCCTTTGAAGGACCCTTGGATTGTTTTTATGGGTATGAACAGTGCCTTTGCTCTGGCAGCATGCCCTGGTTAGTTGAGCTCTCCCTAGAAGGTCCCTTTGATTGTTTTTATGGGTATTAACAGTGCCTTTGCTCTGGCAGCATGCCCAGCCCTTGTGCCCTCTGTGCCAAAAGGACACACAGGGTCCTCTTCTGCTCTCCTTGCTTCCAAAGCCTGGGGCTTCAGTTGTGCTCTTTTCCCATGTTACTGCTCGATTGCTTCTTCCACACATCCATTTGGGGTTGGGAGCTCTGTGAGAAGCGAGTCCTCATTCCTGTCAGCACTTCAGAAGAGGAGCCACTGCAAACCTTCACCTCCTCACCTTGCAATAACTCCTACATCACCTGTACCTAGGGGACAGTCCCTTTGCATCACTTTGCACACCTTGGTCTGACTTCTTCAGCTGAGAATGGTCCTACAAATGGGACAAGCTTCTGGGCAGACGTGGTTGAGACCATGAGCAGGAGTTCATTTACTTGCAAAGAATGTATGTTAAAAATTGGGGAGTGCAGTCCTTTGCTTTTCCAAACAGAGATATAACAGACATCAAAGGGGGGATGCAATATTGCTGGGAAACCACGTATTATATAGCTCTTTAGTGGAAAAAATGCTGTAATTCCTACCATATCTTACAAAAACAAGGCAACAGAAAGCATATAAATATATCCTATATACATAAACAATACAACACAGCTGGCTTGCAAGCAGGGATTAGTAGCCAGACACTGTTATAGAAACAGTACATATTTTCCCTTGGGAAACATAAAACCCCACCAATTCAGTCTATTCAAGGCCACAGAGAAACAATGTGCTCCTTGTGCTCGTTTCCACTCCTAGTTGCTGAGATATTGGCATTTTTACCAACCAGGTTTCTGTACATTTTTTCCATTTTGTTGAAAAACTACAAAGATCTTGGGTCAGCATCCTTTTTTTTTATTATTATTTTCAAAAAAATTAACTAAATTAACTAAATGTGCATTCTTCTGCACATGGACATTTTTCTGTCTCCTTTACTTGGTTAAACCAGGCAAAATGAAGTTATTTTCCCTCTTCAAGGCAAGAGTGTAACTGATGGAGTGATGCCATTATGAAGAAAGGATTTTAGAGGGAAGAGCATGAGAGATTCATCTTAAACTAGTTTAATCTAAACAATTCCGTGGCAACAGCTGTGGGCATGACTTCTAGGAAATGTGGATGCAAATTGGAACTGGAAGAGAAGATTCAGTGAAATCAGTGAGTGGCAGCTGCTGCATCTGACACAGATGCAGCAACATCTAGCACATCTTTTTGGAACAGAGGCAGGGCCCTAAGACAAGCAGCAATTCATCTGTCTTAGAGCAAGTTAGGCTGTTAGGTGGCAATTATTCACCACTCCACTTGTGATTTCTTCTTTGTCATTTTAATAGTGCCCTTTCCCCTCCCCTACTCTACCTGTGATTGCCAACTGTGTAACAAAGAAGGTCATCCGAGATTTCCTCTTCCTCCTCCAGGTAGAGAAGAGCACGATGGCATTCCCAGCAATTGTGACAACAAAGAGAATCCAAAGAGTCACCAGCTGCTCTGTCTGCAGTGGAGAGAAGGAAAAAAACCCATATCAGTAGGTGGGTGGGTAGTGAGTTGGGTTAAACCAATCAGCTATCCCAGGACTAATGAGATGAGGATGGAGAAAAGGAGTGAAATGTGAGTTTTGCCAGTTGATTCCTGATGATTAAGTCTAAAAGATATTCTTATTCTTTCAGAAAAAATCCTTAACACGCCTCCCTGCTGGTGATGTTCATTCCAGTTTGATTTTCAGTGGTTGTATATTATTTCTATCCACTAGCAGTGTCTGTGTTCAGCATTTAATGCCAAAATAAGAGACAGCCCTCAGTTTTGTCGTGTTGCTCCAGCAAGCTGTGAAATAACCAGCTGCCTCCCTTCGGAAGGAATCTTGATAGATGGGCTTCTTTGGAGAAATGGGGGAAATAAATACTTCTCTCCTTCCCAGCTCCAGTGAGCCTGGGTCACCCACAAGCCCTGTGAAATTCAGACAGCCTCTCCATGATAGAGGGACCGAAAAGAAACCACGACAGGCTGTAAGGAAAATTGGGAAGCAAGCGATACGTGATGGCCAAACGTCCCCTAGTGGTAGTGGGTACAAAGAAAAGGAGGTAAATAAAGCTCTTTGCACTCTCAAAGCATCTGGCTGCAAGAACAAGGGTGTAAATACCCATGTTTGCTTGTTTTGTGAGTGCACAACAAATCTTCTCCCTCTTTTTACCCTACCAAACCCCACTGAGTCCTCTCTAGATGCAGGATAGTTACTTTCCAGTGATCACTCTTTACTCTCTGTCCACTTCAGTTTTTCTCCCTAGCAGCAAGCCACCTCTGAGCCTGAGAAGTGACCAAGACTGGTGAGCATAGGGTCAGCTTGGAGAAAATAATCTGCACTCCTGCAAAATCCTCACTTATAAAAACCTGTCCTGTGAAGAGCTGTCTGTGGTGGCATGAAGAAAGGTGGTTCTGCAAAAAGAAGGAGAAGAGAGTGGATTTTTCACAGCAACAGGTTTGCAGGATGCACAGCAGAGGAGTTCAGGAGAAAAACAAAAATCCTAATGTATCCAGCAG